AAAGGCACTTTTGGAAAAAAATAATTTGAATAATCTCCTCATAAAAAAATATAGGCGATTATTGAAAGCGTTTTCTGCAAGAAATGCCTTCAATAATTTCGTTAAACAATTAGAGAGGATTATTTAAGGCATTTTTAGTCAAAAACGTCTTCAATAAATATCTTATCAAATTTGAATGATCATATGATTGTTAACCATAAGGTCATAGGTTTGATTCCTCCCTTTAGCATTTTTTGAGTTTTTAAAGGGATTATTTGTACAGGATTATTCAAGGCATTTTTTAGCAAAAAAAACCTTCAATAATCCATAGAAAAAATTTGGAATGAATTCTTGAAGGTGTTTTTTATCGAAAGAGCTTTCAATAATCCACTCAATAAATTTTTATGAGGGATTATTGAAGGCGATTGTGATAAAAAATACCTTTAATAATCCATACAAAAAATTTGAAATGGATTCTTGGAGGCGTTTTTGGCCTAAAACGCCTTTAATAATCCACTAAGTAAATTTTTATAAGGGATTATTGAAGGCAATTTTAGTCAAAAACGCCTTTAATAATATTTTGTTAAAAATTATTCAAGGTATTTTTTGGCCTAAATTAGCGGATTATTCAAGGCGTTTCTCTAATACAAATGCCACTAAATTAGCAACGTTTTCTAGATACAAACACCACTAAAATAGTGGCATTTTATGAAAAAATGTCATTAAAATAGTGACGTTTTATAAAAAAAACGTTGCTATTTTTTTCAACACGTGTATAGCTGACACTTTTAGTGACATTTTTTGCAACGCTGCAAATCATTTAGTGGTGTTTATAAATGGCTCTAAACATTGAAAAAAAAATGCCACTAAAGCTTTAAACCCTTGTAGCGTCTCTTTTGATTTAACTAAAAACTTTTGTACTACTTTTTCTCATCAAGGCTTTTGTATCACATTCAAATGGACAAAAATATTCAACTATATTATGTGTAAGAAGTACAAAAGTTCCCAAGTAAGCCATCTGTAATTGATAACTTTAATTCTTTTAATATTTTGAAATGATTGAGGCACAAATAAGTTTTTAAAAAAAACTATTTACAGAGAAAGTACAGGTTCGGAGATAGAATCTTGGGATTGGAATTTGAAAGGGGAAAAGTGTGCATGCCATGCTTTGTTTCCTAGGCCATGGACTATTTATGAAGGTATAACTTCAGAAACTAGACTTTTCTATTTTGTATACTAGTTGTGCACAATCTTATAAGATTTGTTGCAAAGTAGGTCAACCTCAATTGGAGCTTAGAATCAGTTGTCGTCAAATTTCACCTTTTATTCGCCACAACTATAAAGAAAGTAGTTTGCCTGTATCAGTGTTTACATTCTTGGTAGGACTTAGGAAATGCTGACTCGGGGACTTCATGTGCATTTTTATTTTTTGTTATAGATTTGTTGAGTATTTTTTGACAATCAACATATATGTGTTTTTTTATATTTTTATTTAATAGAATTCATAAACAATTTTGTAAAACATTTTGCATTCTTTTATAAATAAAATTGAGCATTTTGTTTATTTATTTTTTATTTATGTATATTTAGTATTCATTTAATTACTTTAAAAATAAATTTAAAAAACTAAAATAAAATGACAAAAATTATAAATAAAATATATTAAATATAATTAAAAAATAAGTATCACCGACAGATTATTAATGGATTCTACCAACGGATTATCAACACTTTGCCTAACAAATTTTATCAACAAATTACTGACAGAAAATTCAATCAGTAATTACCGACAGCTTTTACACATTACTGACGGAATAATATTACCAACTTATCTATCACCAACAAAAAATTTTATTGGTAAATTCTATCGATAATACTATTACTGAAGGAAAAGATGCTATTATTGTTGAAAATTTTCATTGGTAAAAGTTAATTTTCTTGTAATGTGATAAAAAAAATTTATTAAGAGTGACTTAAATTTTTTATCAACCATTATCAATATATTTGTAATCATAAAAATAAAATTTAAATTGTCTTCTAAAATTATAATTATATTAAATTTTGAAATAATATTATGTTACAAAAATTATTATAAATACACTTATCCCATGCATGGTATAGATATAAAATTTTAAATTTTTAAATAAGTAAAATTTGACAATTACCGATTAAGTCGAGCTCAAACTTAAGTAGCTTGACTTATCGATCGAGTCAAGTTCGAGTATTCTTATACTTGGTCGAGTAGCTCGTGAACTTAATCAAACTTTTATATTTTAATATATATTAATTATTTTAATTAATAAAATATCTCTAATTCGAACTCAAGCTCAAGTTCAAGTACAAATAATCGAGCTTTTGTCAAATATAAGAATTGAACTTATTTTTATATGTTAATCGAGCCTAATCGAGTGAACTCAACTAGCTCGATTTTTATCTCAAGTCAAGCTTGAGCTAAAAAAAAAGAACTTGATTAAGTTCAAATCAAGTTTTGAGTCTCGAATTTTGAGTCGAGTTTAAACTCGAGCTTAATACTGTATCGACTCAAATTAAATCAATTACACCCCTATATAACACCAATTATCAAACTGCCATTCAGACTACTTGTTATGAAATAGTCTATGGAAGGTCTTTCCTACTCACAAACCTTATTTGACTGGGGATTCTAGAGTGAAAACTGTTGATAGAAGTCTTCAAGCTAGAGAATCTGCTATTAAACTTTTGAAGTTCTATATGGAAAGGACGAGAAACAAGATGAAGCAACAAGCTGATAAGCATAGGGTTGACAGACAATTTAGGGCTGGCGATCTAGTTTATGTTAAACTTCAACCATACAGACAAAAGTCAATAGTCAATAGTCATAGTCAATAGGACCTATTTGAAATTATTCAATCATGGAGAAGATAGGTACGACAGCTTATAAGCTACAATTACCTAAGGGAGCTAAGATTCATCCCGTGTTTCATGTCTCCCAATTGAAGAAACACGTTGGAAAGGTGCCATCTCAATCTACTTTTCCTCCGATGCATGCAGATGGTGTGTTACAGGATAATAAATAAGATAAAGGGTAAGGGGTGAAGCAATTACTGAGGTATTGATACAATGGAGCAACTGTTTTCTAGAGAGGGACCTGGGAGAGTTTGTATGAGCTGCAGAACAGGTTTCCTTCTTTTCATCCTTGAGGCAAGGATTCTTTTGAGGGAAAGGTAATTTTACAAGCTAAAGAAGGTTGAATCATTTGTGCCAGAGCAAACCTTAGCTATGCGGAAGAATAAAGTCCATTTTTGATAATTTTGATAGTTGGCAGTTATATGAGTCAGCAAGTTAGTTATAATTTTAACGAATAGGACAGCTAAGCAAATTGTTGGAATTGTCTAAAATATTGTATACAACTAATACCATATGCATTGAGAACAAAATGAATGGAGCATATAACATAAATTCCTAAAAATACTCTTGTTCTCTCTCTTTTAGCTCTTGTTCTTCCTCTTTTCTTTTTAATTCCAGTAACCTCCATTACTGGACTCTGAATCTTCTTTGACTATTCTCTGTAGTAAAGCTAAGCTTGCCTGCTTGCAGTGTTGGTTGTATCAAAGAGATTTTTTTTTTTTTTTTTGGGATCGTAGTATGATGAAAGGAGAAAATTTCTGAAGAAAGCTTGAATTTTCTGGCATGTATTTTCAGGCGTTGGAAACTAGGTTTCGAAGCCAAATTCTGAGTTTCTTTTTTTTTTTTTCCCAAGTATTCAAGGTTTCGAAGAAAGAGAAGAATTGAAGTAAGAGAGAGAAAGCAAAAATAAAAACAAAGGAAAATTCAAAATTTTGGTATTTAAGGCAACAGTAAATGATGTTGTTTAACGAACCGGCTATTTTATGACCCATGCACACGACCCGCTATGTGACTCGGAACGATCTAACCCATGTGTATAGATTTCTCTTTTCTTTTTCAGGTTTTTTATTTTATTTTAAGCTTTTTTAGTTTCTTATTATTTATTTCAATTGTTTTATTATTTCATTTATTTGAAAAGATAATTATTTTGATGATAAAATTCTAAAAAATAAATAATAATTGATTTTCTAAAAAAAATTTTAGGTAAGAAGTTTTTATTTAAATTATCCAAAAGAAAAAATTAAAGTAAAAATTTTAATTTTAATAGTTAAAATTTATTTTCAAACAAAATAAAAGTAAATTAAGGATAGAATTCTAGAACTAATAAATTATAATAAGCCTCTTTCATAAAATATTTAATAAATTTAAAGACGGAGTTTTTTCAAATGAAAGAATAAATTTTTGAACATTCCTAAAATAAAAAATAAATTAAGAATTTTACTGGAAAAACTTAAAATTCTTTCTAATATTTAATTGATAAAAACTAAAAAAATAACATATCATTTTAACCAATATGATTTTTAGAATAATTTAAAATTAATTTGAAACATTTTAAGATAAATATTATAAGAGGTGTTAAAACATTATTTACATATAATCGAACTCATGAAATTAGTTTTGATAAGTAGACCAAATCATATTTTTTTTAAGGACTCTTAATCAAATTTAAAATTTTCTTAAAAGAGAATATATTTACTTAAATAATCAATCACACTTAAATAAAAAAAATTAGTAGCGATTCTTCATTTTTGTCAAATAATCAAGTTTATGAACTTGTACATTATAATAACTTCAAACTAAATCTGAGTAGTATTTGTTCAAATCATTTTTATTTTGTAATTAATTTTTATTTTAAATTTCAACTATTGATTTAGTTAAAAACTCATTTTCACCTTTGCATCAAATAATAAAAATTTTTATTGATTTTTAAATAGTAAAGAAGATTTTTTTTCTCTTAAATAATTGCTCATCATAGGAGGCAGATAAGACTTAACAGTATTTTGAAGATTTTTTATTCATTTATTTACTTATTTTTGAGAAAACTATTTTTTCAACTTTGATAGATTATCACATGATTACATTAGTGATTTTTTAACTACCTTCAATGAATTTGTAACAAAATTTTGCTATGTTTTAATAAAATACATTAAAAGGTACTAGTTTTGAATAGAATCGATTTGAGTAGAAATAATTTTTGTTACCACTAAAGTTACCGTTGCTGCCATAAAACTCAATTCCAACCACATCAAAAACACCAAAAGCGCAAATACAGTTCTATGAAGTTGGGATATTGCCGTATAAGGTTTCATCAAATTTAAAATAGCATTAGTCTTCAAGTTAAGCTTCAAAGAAAATGGCATATGCTGAAAGAAGGCAATCTACCCAAAAAAGAACTGAAATTCTATTGTATATTACTTTAGAGCTTTTACCCATGACACGTGTAAAAATGTAAAACGTTTTTAAGAACATAAAATTAAATAGAAAAAGAAAAAAAATTACTAACACAAGCCTGTAAGGTGGAGAAGAAGAGAAGAATGAGAGAAAAGGCTGTAATTAGCTGAATAGTGTATCCATCTACGGTCAAGATGGCTACTTCATCTATAACAAATCAGTTTTTTATTGTAAAAGGAGATGCAAACTAAACTTAATGTAGAATAATTCATCTCCTTCTATATATCATTCATTTTCGTCTTCTACCTGAGCCACCATCGCTGAATTGCAGAAACCGGAGTGTTCAAAAATGGTGCGTAGCGCTGGACAAGAGGATTAACTGTCCTCCCAATCTTTGACCAAACACTTTGGTGACAACCAGCAGTAACCGGAGCATGGTACATAAGCTTCAATAGCTGTGAGAGGAAAAAAACAAGGACAAAAGATTTATACACATTAATTCATCATTCATTTGTTAAGAAATAATCTTAACTGTTTCAAAGATATACGGTGTTTGTTGCAAAAAATAAACTGTTTGAGATGCATTTGAGCATTATGAAAGATCTTAATATACACAAGTATTTTGTATTTAATATTTTTCCCACAATATTAAGAACATTGTCTGCGTCAACAGACAGCTCCATGTTCTAAATGAGATTACACATTAATTGTCCATTCATCACAATAAGAACAAGATTGAAAATAGAAGTTAATACATGAAAAATAAAAAATAGAGTCGTGGAAGGAAGAAGAATTACAAACCTGCCAGTACATGAAAGTCTGTATGATATTCCGTTGCCACCTACAAAATTTAATACAAAATTTCAGCAAATTAGAAAGGCTTGAGAACGTGGAATGCATTGGCTTGGAGGGAAAAATAAACCAAAGGAGTAAAAAGATATTAGCAACTGACGAGAACAAGGAAACAATTAGAAGGAAGCCAAGTCCAATCTCAGCATGTGCGGAGAGTATGCTCAGTGTAGTAGTGTTTGAATCTACCCACACACAAGGATATTCCAAATACTTCCTGTTCAAACAAAGGAGATAGCATTAATAAAAGAATGAACACATAGACCTTCTAGTGATGAATCTTGATACTTAATTTTGAAGAGTGCAATTAATATTATATTGTTTGTTTTTATAAGACAATATCCGATATATATATATATATATATATATGTGCATACATTATACAAATAATAAAATGTAACAAACTCACAAAATTATAAATTAAAATTATTACTACGACAACATTAAATCTTTAAAAAGTATCAATACCTTCAAATTAATAGTAGAATTACTAATTACACAATCTTTCAATAAATTATGAAAAAAATTTTATTCTTTTCGATAATTTAAAATTAAATAATATATAAATAAACCAATCGATAAACAATATCTTTTTATCGAAAAAATAAATAAATAATTAAACTTTAAAAAATGAAGTGGAAACTTTGAGATTCAAAGTTTTAATCAAATCTTCCATAAAGTGATTTTTTTTGTGTTTTAAGATTTCAAGACAACATGAAATAAAGATATAAACTAAAATTAAAAGTAAAAAATTATACAAGGATGTGACATTGCAATAAGTTATTAAAAAAAATAAAAGAACAAAAAATGCATTTGATAATTGATTGAAAGTTTGTGGTTTTATTAAGAAAGCTAAAAAATTTAATTTGACTTTTATTAAATTCACATAATTGTTATTAAACTTGTGACAAATCTCTTAATTTTAAAATTTTATAAATAGTGACTAATAAGAAAAATAAATGAAGAAAGGGAACTTCTAAAAGCACCTCACCTTTTTTCTATCTACACACAGACTTTTTTTTCAAAATTTTTTATAAGTAAAATTATTTAAATATCCTTCTTACAAGTTTTTGATTATTCACTATTTTGGAGAAATTATAACATTTCTCGAAAATGAATTTTCAAGAACTCATAACACTTCTCAAAAATGCATTTTCGAAAGTGAAAAAACAAGGTAGTGTTTGATTTCAAAAAACAAAGCCATTTTCTATTTTCATTTTCTTGAAAAATGATAAATATAAGTAAAAACGTATTTGATAATTGAAAATGAAAACAATTTTTTAGAAAACAAAAATGAAACTGGGTTGATATATGAAAACCAAAAAAAGAAATTTTTAATTGTGAAAATAAAGAATGTACATTATTTTTTTCTTGTTTTTTTGTAAGTTATCATATTTGAACACCTTGTAATGTCATTAATTAATAAATATATATTATATTTATAATTAGATGCCATTAATAGTAATATCATTGAATATTTTATTTATTTTCTTATTTTTGTATTTTTTGAAAATAATTTTTATTTTTGTTCACCAAATACATTTTTTAGAAAACAAAAAATGGAAAATAAAAATTATTTTTTAGAAAATAAAAATAAGAAATAAAAGCAAAAAATATTTTCTCAAACCAAACAAAGCCTAAAATTTTATAAAAAAATTACAAAAAAGAGAATTTCGTTAAAATTATTTATAAATCGTGTAATAGAAAAAAATTATTACTAAAAATCATAAATTTTAAAATTAATAAAAATTGTTATTTTTACTATTTTAATTTAAAAAAATAAAATCTAATGAGATTCTAATTAAATAATATTATCTCTTAATGTTACAAAAGGTGATGAGAGATATATTAGGTCCGATCCATATATAAAAGCTAAAACTTTTTAATACTGTATAAGTAACACTACTAAATACTATGCAACTTTGTTAAAATCCAATATACTAATTGAAAAAATCTATCGTAATAAATAGATAAAGAGACTTCTTCATAGAATTCAATTTACTTAAAATTATTATAAAATTTTAATAATCGATAGAAAAATGTATTAAAAATGAAAAATTTTAAATTTATAAAAAAAATTATATTTGTTATTTTATCTTTAATTTAATTAAGATCTCATAAGATCTATTTTTCTCTAAAATGAAATAAAAAAAGTAACTTTTTAATTAAATTTAAATTTTATGATTTTTTCTCATAATAACTTTTTATTACACTTTGTATAAATAATTTCGTTAAAATTCCTTTTTTGTAAGTTTTCATAAAATTTAACTTTTACCACTCTCAAATATCTATTTTTGAGAAGTCTTATATCTTCCCGAAAATGCATTTCCAAGAAGTATTATGACTGCTTGAAAATACATTTCTGAAAGTAATAAAACTTGTGAGAAGGATATTTAAGTAATTTAACTTACAAAAAAAAAAATTTTTAAATAGTTTATAGGAGAAAAAAAGGGTATATTTTGAATTCCCCATAGAGAAATAGCAATATAATTTTAACCCCGTTAAATTATGATGGATAAAATTAAATTATAATACCAAAAAAATAAATAATTTTAATAATTTTAATTTAAAGGGTATCAATTTAAATTTAATAACCCTATATATATATATATATATATATATATATGGGGTCATCAAAACTTTGGCGCCCTTCAAGGCACAACGACAGTCCGCCCGAGACCTTCAAGTATAAACATGCACAAGCGTAACTAACAAGAATTTCCTTTCACCCATGTTTGAGGTGACATCAGAGAATGTTATAGATCAAATTGAACTACTGTACACCTGAGGAATTGGTTAAGGTGAAAAACAGGAAAAGTACCTTTTAGTATTAACACTCATGAAGAAAGTTTTTTTGTTTATTAGTACCATTCCTTTCTGTAAAAGTTAATGTGTATTACTTATAAGGATAACAAGCCACTGAAGGCGAGGCTGGAAAGACAAGCCCATGCCCTCAGAAGTTCTAAGTTCAAATCTCTCCACCCCATCTATTCAGAGAATGTTTAACATTAAAATGGAAAAGAAATGATAACAATAATGATCATAATATACTCCTAAAAAGTACAAAAAAACATAGGCAATAGCAGCATAGGCAATAGCAGCAATAAAAACTTAACATCATTTCTATCCATCTGAATTTTATGCCTTTTCATATAAAGAATATCATCATGTGAATTTAACTGAATTTTTTTAGTAAATATTAATAGTCTAATGACATAATTAATAAAAAAATAAAAAATAAAATGAAAAACCATGTACAATCATGCTAATCAAGTAAATTTAAAACTGAACCAGCAGTCTTTAGTAAAGAAGACGGTTTACATAGCTGAGTAGAGGTTTACCTGTACAAGATAGAACGATTGAAGTTACGCCTTAAGAACCTTGCAACATGTTCAAGTGCTCGGCATAAAATGGGAATCAAAGCAACTGCAGTGAAAATTCATAATTCATCATACTATATAACAAAGAGTGTTCAGCAGCAAAAAGAAAAAGTTAATAATATTTAGGGGCAGAAGAATGCTCACATTTAAGGCAAAGATGTGAAGTGACAAATATAAGGCAGTATATAAAGTAGATAAAATCTTTGGTTGCAATTATTGACTGAAAATACACTTGAACAGCCTGCAAATTCCATGCCCTTGGTCTCTGCATAACATATAGAATAGATTCAAAAGAAGAACCATAGTATATTAAATCAAATGGATGATAAGTCAATGGAAATAAGTTTACCCCATATAGTGCATACAAAGAGTATAGAGAGGAAAGAGCAGTGCCCAGAAACGACAGCCGATAAGCCCTATTCAAAAGACTTAAAGGAACAAGAGGAAAGAGGGCAAGCACAGCCACAATAAAAACCTGCAAGAAAAAATGTAAGCCAAAAATCTAACAAAAATATGGACAGGAAATGAAAGATGGCCCAAGTTACAAGATAAAGCAACTGGTTTAACACTAAGTATTATAATTAGACATTAACAATCAATCAGTTCCTCAACTCTGTGGTCTCTTTCTGGCAGAGTGCAAGAATAAATAAGGAAATAAAATGCACAACTTACACATTTGAAAACAAGATAAGAAGGCAAGAATCACCTTCTAATACGCAAATATGTACATGTGGGAGAAAGAAAAAGGGGTGGAGGTGGGGTAAGGTAGTATACCCAAGCATTGACAGAAAATTGTATTGTTTGCCGATCCCAACGCACAGAAGCTGTATTTGAACCTGCAGCTGCTGATGCCCCTGGACTTCTAGTGGTTGAACCTAGATCACAAATTTAGGATTGAGCTCAATGAAGGAAACAGCTCCTTAATAAGGAAGAGCAAATAAACAAAGTTCTACAATTTTTACGTTATTTATTGCAAGTTTTAGCTTCTTTGTCTAATCTCAGTTGCAGAAGCACCAATTTTTTACCTGCATTGCGTCCTTGAGCTTCATTATTTGCTGCTGATGATGAGGTTGACGATGAAGCAGATGGTCTTGCTGATTGTGATGGCATGCTTGACGACATTGCCTCTACCACAAGATCAGGATCCTGTTTATGAAACATATCCCATAATCATTAGATACAAGTTGGTCATGGAACGATACTAGAAAATTATTGAAAGAGGAATATATTAAAATGTGATATACATTAATATAGCAATAAAAGTTACATAATTGCAAGAAATTGCACGTTAAGAAGATTAACAGATAAGACAATGGCATGCACTCCCTATTATTCTTTTTTTTCAAGTAGGTAAACCATTTTAACATTCAATAATCAAGACTATATTCAATTGTTGCTTTTACCACTTGCTTTTTGTTTCGAAAAGCCAAAAGCAGAAAATGAGTTTTCCTATGAAAACCAAATGTATATACATTAAAGAATTAAAAGTTGAGTTGCTTGGACTTAGCTCAAGCAGTAAGAATGGATGGGATTTGGATAAAGATCCTAGGTTTGGGAGGCTGTGCTCCCTCATACCAAATAGTAATAATAGCAATAATTGGAAACTTAACATTCATAAAGAACAGGATAAGAGAAAACATAAGTTTTACAGTTATATGGAATAGTTATGTTTGAATTATGGTACTTTTCAACTATTTTCTTATTTTCTTATTTATTTTTGTAAAAAATGACTTTGCTTCTTTCTATTTGCTTTTGCTTTATAACAAAATTTTAGTTATTGTTTATTTGCTGTGTTTTTGCTATTTTAATTTTGAAACATGTTTGAATAAAGTCCATTTGGATGTAAAAACACATCATATAGAAGAACAAAATGTATACTTTTATTTTATATAGAATAGTGTTAGAATTGGAGTTGTATTACACAAGCATTTATTCTTGATAAATTATGATTTTGCTTTCTACCAATTACTTTTTTTTTCCTTTTAACCACTTCATAGGAAATAAAAGTAAACACTAAAAAGGAAGCAGCAAAAGAAAGAAATAAAATTAACCCCAAAAGTACTTTAAATTTATTAGAGCTTCTTGAACAGAAGAAACAAGCAAATTCATCTAAGATAAATTTTGCATCAACTCACATATATTTAATAGCAAGCATAATATTTAAATCAAACACATACCAAAATGCTACAGCACCTAAAAAGGGATGAAAACAGACTGCAAACTACACATAGCCCAGAAAAAAGCCTATATATCCAGATTCCAGTACCATTAAGTCAGTGACAGTTAGAACACAATAATAAAAGTGGAAATGAAAAAAGCAGACTGCCATATGTTAGAAAATAAAACACATAAGATTAAAGAGACTAAAGTTAAACAATAAAAATAAAGCACAAATTGAGTCGCCTTAGTGGAATAAACATTAGTAAGCACTGTCTTACTCTTTCTCATCTTTTATTTGTTTACAACTCTTTTTTTATCATTAACACTAACACTTTAAATAGTCAATTTATTCAAGATTATTGTCAGGCATCAGGGCAGATGTCAAACTTGGAGAAGTCAAACATTGTCTTCAGCTCCAATACTCCAGATCAAGTTCAAAAAGTGATCAAAGGATGCTCCAGATCAAGTTCAAGAAGTGATCAAAGGATGTCATAAGGTGAAATAGCTTCAAATCCTAATACTTGGGCATATTGTGATGTGGAGGCAAAAAACATTGTGAACCGATGGCCTTTTTCTGAGGGACAAAGAGATAGCTAAGCTTCAAAGCTTGAAATAGCAAAACCTATCTCAAGGAGAAAGAGAGGTATTAATCAAAGCAGTGGCCTGTGCCATCTCTACCTACAAATGGCTCGCTTCAAGTTACCAAATAAACTCTTTGAAGAGATTAATTCGGCAATGGCCAAATCTTGGTGGGGTCAGAAAGAGAGTGAAGGAAGAATTCATTGGCAAAGCTGCCAGGAGCTAACAATGGAAAATAGTAAAGGAGGTATGGACTTTAAAAAGTTGGCTCTTTTTATCAAGGCCATACTGGCTAATCAATGCAGGAGGATGCCACAGAATCCAGTGCTCTTTGGATTCAAATGTTGAAAGGAAATTATTTTCCTAAAAAATCTCTAGTGGATGCAACAAACAGGGCAAAGGCATCTTGGGCTTCAAGTAACATTCCTGAAGGAACAGATTTTATGAAGAAGAAGCTACTTTGGCAAGTGATGGGAAGGACATAAATTTATGTCAAGATAAAAGGAAACCAAATTATGAAGAAAAAAAGGTTAGCCTTACCTGATCAAGCTAGCTCTCAACTGTTATAAAAGTTACCAGAACTAATTAACAAGGAGCAAGAAGTTAGGGATATGTCCGCTATTTGTGGTTAGATTCCAATGAAGGCAGACAAAGGCTATTGAAGCGACTCTATCATGTCAGTAGGGCATAGGATACAATCATGCAGCCTTTTGAAAAGAAAAGTGCAAATATACCATAAAATCATAAATCAGTCAGTAGAACAAGGGCAGGTCTGCAGGGGGAGTCAAAATTGTTCTTCTTGTCGTGTACTGGAAAATAAGGTAAGGAAAGAGGTTGGGAGGTATCATCGTTATAAAGCGAAAAGAGAATGTTACTTCTATTAATAGATGGTTTAAGAAGGCATAATAGAAGGAACAATTCCAAAGTAGATCAGAAACTCAGATTGCTTTCAAATGCAGGATGATTTGAACAGGTCATCCTAAGGCATATTCAGCATGAAAGAAGCTGAATGCTTGCTCATTTTCTGTTTTTCAAGACTAAAGTAGCCACATGCGAATTCATCAAAGTTCAGTAGGTGGAAGAAATTAGAGAGTAAAAGGGCACATAATCAAGATAAAGAAAATTCTCAATCATTGGTCTTGCAAAGAAGGTTTCTGCACATTTAGCTGCAGCTGAAAAGAACTTGGCTTCCAAAATAGAAGCACAAATCAGCAGTTAAAGACAAGTTTCAAAAGGATGTTTGTTCAACATAATCGCAAATTGCAGTTGATGAAATCTTAAGAAGGCTAAGAAGATTCATAAACCGCAGAATCAAACCAATTTTAAAGGTTTTCAATCACCTTAGAACTAAAATTTTAGCAGACAAAATTAAATTTCGTTAGAAGAAATGCAATTCCATATTTGTTTTGTCTTTTTTTTTCTGTTGCTGTTTTCTTGAGTAGCTAATGGCCCTAAAAAAAACCCATAACTGACAAAAAAATCATATATAAATTCACAAATCTCATAAATATAAAAACCTAGATGGGAAATTCCAAGATTCTTGAACATACCAACACATCACACTATAAACAAGGGAAAAACCCAGCGTTAGATTGCAAATTTCTCTATTAATCAGCGTCAAAACACATAAGAGAAAAAACACAGATTGCAAATTCCTAAAGAAACAAAACCCAGATGGAAAATCTCAAATACCAAAGCACAATATATTAAAGAGAGAGAGAGAGAGAAACGTACGATATAGCGCTGGTAGAACTTGCGCTTAAAGTGATCAACAACATCAGCGCGAGAAGCCATGTGAGGAGGAATCAAGATATTGGACCAATAATCTGGCCATCTGGGATCGTTCTCGTAATCGTAGGCAGCCGCCGATATTCTCTTCAGCTTCTGCGGATCTTCTCTCTCTTCTCCCATTTTCTTTTCTTTACTTGTTCCCAAAGAGGTTACTTCCTTCGGTTCTGTTGAGAAAGCAGCGGACCTAGACTAGAAGAGAGAGCAGTCTTAACTTGCCCTTCTGGTTCCACTGGGACCCAAAACGACTAATCGAGTAAACCCTCATCAGTCCAGCAATAATTTCAATCGCATGTTTTTTTCACTTTTAGCCCTCTCTTTGTTATATTTTTTTAAACACTTAAGTCCATTTTTTATTTGTTTTTATTTTTAATTTTTTTATTTAAAAAGATTTCAAATGATTTATTTTTTCAGGATAAAATTATTATTTTTTAACTATTTATTAATAAAATTATTATTTAATATAAAACAATTTAATAATTTAATAATTATTTATTAATTTTATGAATATTAAATAATTTATTTTTTTATATTATCTATAATTTTTAATTCAATATCTTTAATATTCATTTTCTCTTTTTATTACAATTTATTTCATCTCTATTTTTATATATAAATATATATCTCACCATTAATTTTAATTTTAATATTATCGTATCTAATCCCACCGCATCCTTATTTTCAATCGACTTTCATTAAACAAAAAAAGGGACCAAGTCAGCTTCAATATCAAAACAATATAAGGTTTAACAGGGTAGCCACTTGATCAACCCTGTCAACCTTGGACTGTTAATAAATCAGATAATCAAGGCACATCTAAACTCAAGACCAAAGAAAAGGAAAAAAAAGCCCATCTATAAGTTGGGCAGTGGAATTTGTTGGGAATCCGGACTAAGAAAATTTTAATTACTTACAAATAAGGAAAAGCCTAAAGTTTTTCTTTTCATTATTTCCAGGTGCAAAACGAATTCAGGAGTTAAAACGAGGAAAAAAAGATGAATGAATGATTCTAAATCATAGAAAATAAATGCACAGGCATTCTTACAGGGAAATCATGGATGCTTTTTCTTTTTTTCTTTTTTTCTTTTAATATTAAGAAGGAAAAAAAAAATGCTCAAGAGTACACATCAAGTGAGAAGCAACACCTGATTCCATCCTATACAAAATTGAGAGGTAGAGCATATCCCCTTTTAACAGTGTGATGCATCTGAAGTCTCAGTCAGTACTAATAATAAGAGCAATTCAATTTTCTTGTAATGGTTTACACATTGAACTCATCTGACTTGCTTGACATCCGAGTCGGATTCAAGGCATCAAGGTGCTACAATCCATAAGCTCTCGACTCCTCCGGCTACCTTGACTACCATCTTCTTGACCTTTCCAACTGCTCTGAGTGTGACTAAAGAAATTAGAACTGTAGTCTTGACTGACAAATGCTAACCTCTGAAACATTCTGATTTGCGCAGACGGCTGCGCTGAATCAAAAACTTCACTTTGGCCAGGTCTCATTCCATTTGTGAGATCTGATGACTCATCCAATGAGTCTAGAGCTCTCACCACCTATGAAATAAAATGTCAAAGAAATCCATGCGTAAAAGCCAAACGTGATAATAAACAAAGTTCCATAATACTCAAACATATTTACCTGACTCATTTTTGGCCTTTTAGCAGCTGAATGTCGTACACAAACTGCAGCTGCCTCAATCATTCGAAATATTTCATGATCCACATACTTCTTTTCCAGCCTTGGATCTACCAACTCCTCAAAGTCTTGATGTTCAATTGCTTCAGCAAGCAGTGGTCGAGCCTGAGTAAAAAGTTTGAATCAAATTAAAATGTTTGATATTGGAACATCGCCACAGGTTCCATTACCTAAAAGAAACTGTGAGAAAACACTTATTTACAGCTGGTTGTAATCTTATAATTTATATATTTATATTTGTATCTCTAGAATTAAGTATTTGTATCCCTAGAATTAAGGAAGATTTAGTTTCCTAGTTTAACCCCTAGTTAGTTGTATATAAACCTAAGATTCTTGTATAATTCAACATAAGTAGTTTTTCAATATACATTCAGTTTCCACATGATATCAAAGCTTTAGACTCTTCTTGGGAAGAAAAATTTTTAGCCTTCATTGCTGACTTTTTTAGGCCTTCATTGCCGAACCCTTTCAAAGAAAGATATCACTATCACCCAATTTGAGAAAATGTTAACTGGAAAAATCACTGGAGTATTACAGATCTCTCAGAAACATGGAGAGTTCAACAAGGAAGAGATTGAAAAGCTGAGAAACTTATTGAAAATCCTTGAAAAGCCTACTATGGTATGTTTTTGGTAAAGTTTCTAGTTCAGGTAAAGCTTCCGGTTCTCATGGATTAAATGTCTCGGCTAAGCCTATTACAAGTTCTTAGGTCATTGACTCAGAAGCCACAGACCACATGACACATTCCCCACAAAAGTTTAGTACATATAACCTGTGTCCTAGTAATAAGAAAATTATTGTTGCTGATGGTTCACTTACCACACTGACAGGATTAGGAGATGTTCAAGTTAATCTCTCGTTTGTTCTAAAAAATGTTCTTCATGTTCCTGGATTGTCTACTAATCTGATATCTATACAAAAACTTACCAGAGATATGAATTGCAAAGTAACTTTTTATCCCTTTTATTGTGAATTTCAGGACCAGAGTTCAGGGAAGATGATTGGACTTGCTAAGGAGAAGGATGGACTATACTATCTTGAGACATCAAATAACACAAGTAGTATCAAAAATAGTTTACCTTTGTCATTTCTTTCTGAAAAATCTTCCAATAAAGACAAAATCTGACTTTATCATTTTCGTCTTGGACATCCTTCTTTTGGAACCTTGAGAAACATGTTTCTTTCTTTGTTCAAAGAATTAAATATTGAAGATTTTCATTGTGATATTTGCGAATTTGCAAAACATAGACATGTGTCTTTTCCAATCAGTAACAAAAGAAGTTCTACTCCCTTTTACTTGATTCATAGTGACATTTGGGGTCCCTCTACAATTTCTAATATTTCTGATGCGAGATGGTTTGTTTCATTCATAGATGATTGTACTAGGGTCTCTTGGATTTTTTTACTTAAATCCAAATCAGATGTGAATAGTATATTTTTAAGTTTCCAAAACATGATCCAAAATCAATTTGGAGTAAGAATCAAGAAATTTAGGTCTGATAATGCAAGAGATTACTTCAACCAGAGTCTATCCACCTATTTTCAAAAAGAGAGGATTATCCATAAGTCATCTTTTGTTAATACTCTACAACAGAATGGAGTGGCAGAGAGAAAAAACAGCCATTTACTAGCCACAACCTGAGCCTTTCTTTTTCAAGCAAATGTACCTAAATCTTATTGGAGGGAAGCTGTTCTCACTGCCACACACATTATAAATAGGTTATCTTCAAGAGTTTTGAGATTTAAAACTCCTATGAAACTACTCTCATAATTTTATCCCAACCTCAATACCACAAACAATTTCACACCTAGGATATTTGGTTGTACATCATTTGTTTATGTTCACAGTCATAACAGGGGAAAGTTGGATCCAAGAGCGATTAAGTGTATTTTTGTGGGGTATTCTTTAACTCAAAAAAGATATAAGTGCTATCATCCTCCTACCAAAAAATTTTATGTGTCTGCAGATGTCACTTTTGAAAAAAATAAACCATTTTTTACTCAACCTTATCTTCAGGGAGAGACTTCATTCATGGAAGATAAGGATAAAGACTTCTTTTTGCTTGATTTGCCCCCTTCTTCAACATTTACACCCATTAATTCCTCTGAGTCGAAACCTGTTTCTGCTGAGCCCAAGTCAAACATGAATTTAAGTCTGAACCCATTTCAAATACGAAAGATGTGACAAAGAATAATATTGTTCTTGATTCTATGAAGGAATTACAGGTATATTCAAGAAGAAAAGTTTCAAATCCTGAACCTGTGCCAGTCTAAGAACCTGATATTAACTCTGAAAATGAGATAACTACAGTTTTTGACTTTGTTTCTCAAAATAAGCATGAATCTCCTAAAACTATAACTAGTGATTATGATTTGCCTATTGCCATTAGGAAAGGAACCAGAGAATGTACCAAGCATCCACTATACCCAATATCTAATTTTGTGTCATTTGAAAAATTCTCACCATCTCACAAAAATTTTCTTATGAGCCTAAACACTATTTCTATTCCAACTACATTATCCGAGGCATTATCGAGTGAGAAATGGAGGCAAGCCATGAAAATAGAAATGAAGGCCTTAGAGAAAAATCAGACATGAAAACTGGTAGAGTTGCTTAAAGAAAAAAATTCAATGGGGTGTAAATGGGTTTTCACTGTAAAATACAAGGCAGATGGTACTGTTGAAAGGTATAAAGCCAGGTTAGTGGCTAAGGGCTACACTCAAACCTATGGAGTAGATTACCAAGAAACCTTTGCTCCAGTTGCCAAGATGAATACAGTTAGGATTTTGTTATCATTGGCTGCAAATTACAATTGGCCGCTTCAACAATTTGATGTAAAGAATGCTTTTTTACATGGTGATTTGGAAGAAGAAATATATATGAAGGTTCCACCAGGATTTGGAGTTCATCTAGAAGCAAACAAAGTATGCAGGCTAAAAAAGGCTTTATATGGCCTTAAACAGTCTCCTAGAGCTTGGTTCGGGAGATTTGCTAAAGTGATGCTAGCAATGGGATATAAACAGAGTCAAGGAGATCACACATTGTTTATCAAGCACTCTGATTCAGGGAGAGTCACAGTTTTATTAGTGTATGTTGATGATATAATTGTAACTGGAGATGATGAAAAAGAGAGAATCTCTAAAACAGTGTTTGGCTAGAGAATTTGAGATAAAAGAGCTAGGGAGATTGAAGTACTTCCTAGGAATTGAAGTAACTCACTCACGGCATGGTATTTTTATCTCACAACAGAAATATGTGATGAATCTTCTGAAAGAAACTGGGAAGCTTGCATGTAAACCTGTAAATACCCCTATAGATCCTAATCATAAAATTGAAAAAGCTAATGAAAATGCTGTTGTAAATAGAGAGATGTACCAAAGATTAGTTGGAAGACTCATTTATCTCTCACATACTAGACCTGATATAGCATATGCTGTGAGTGTGGTAAGTCAATTTATGCATAGTCCTAAAGAAGTGCACCTACAGGCTGTTTACCGTATATTGCACTATTTGAAAGCCAATCCTGAGAGAGGTATCTTATTCAAAAAAAATTCGGGATTAGTTCTAGAAGCATATACAGATGCTGATTATGCAGGTTCAGTAACTGATAGAAGATCCACCTCAGGCTACTACACTTTCTTAGGTGGTAATCTTGTGACTTGGAGGAGTAAAAAACAGAATGTGGTGGCAAGCTCAAGTGCTGAAGCAGAGTTCAGAGCAATGGCTCAAGGAATTTGTGAACTACTATGGTTAAAGATTATCCTAAAAAACTTGAAGATCAAGTGGGATGGACCAATGACACTCTACTGTGATAACAAGTCTGCAATAAGCATTGCACACAATCCTGTGCAACATGACAGAACAAAACACATTGAAGTAGACTGGCATGTCATAAAGGAAAAACTAGACAGTGGGTTGATTTGTACACCTTATATATCAACCAAGGGTCAACTTACAGATGTGTTACTAAAAGGTCTCAGGCAGTGCCAAACATTTAAGAATTATTTTCCAAGCTGGAAATGGAAAACACCTATTCACCAGCTTACAGGGGGAGTGTGGGAAAACACTTATTTACAGCTTGTTAGTAATCTTGTAATCTGTATATTTATATTTGTATCTCTAGAATTAAATATTTGTATCCCTAGAATTAAGGAAGATTTAGTTTCTTAGTTTAACCCCTAGTTAGTTGTATATAAACCTAAGATTCTTGTATAATTCAACATAAACAGTTTTTCAATATACATTCAATTTCCACAGAAACAAATGATTGACATAGTAACAATTTGGTTTAATACTTTTTGGATTTTTTTTTTTTTTTGTGCAACATTACACTCGATTTCAGATTTTATTCAGAAGAAAATCAAATTTCTTAAAGATTCAACCAGCATAAGACTTTAAACTAAAAGCAAAGCTAAATTTTGTGAACATGACACAGCAAGCACAAACTTGATAACACAAAACCCAGCTGCATAGCCTTACCCATTCAACTAGGCTCTCATCACCTAGGGGCTGAGAATCATCAACAGGCTTGCGCCCAGTAATTAGCTCCAAGAGCACGACACCAAAGGAATAAACATCAGATTTTTCAGTTAACTTGCCACTTGTTGCATATTCTGGAGCCATATATCTGTAAAAGAACAAATTCATTTATCAGAAAACCCTGAATATGATATTTGACCACAACACCATACATGTTTGCAGACCACATAAAACGCAGTGCACTTTTAAACAAATTGTCACATCTAAAAATTATCAGATATAAAATGCCTAAAATCTCAACTATGTTCTTTAAATAGATCAAAGTGATTATATGCGTTTATAATATATACCACAACTTCTAGCTTTACAACAGGAAATCTTCAAATAGTTCAAAAGTACCAAAAAAATTGATTTATGCTTATGCAACACAGGAAAATAGAATCATGCACAAGCACGTGAAAGTTTACTTCTTTTAGATATATCACAAACCAACATAGTAAGTTAACTTACCCAAAGGTTCCCATCACACGTGTGGTTACATGTGTATTTGAATCCAAAGCTAACTTTGCAAGTCCAAAATCTGAAACCTGTTGTAGACACATGAATTGTGAGACAGAAAGTTAGAGTGGCATAAGGGAAATTAAAAGAATGAAAAAAAGAAAACCCCAATATAGGTAATAAGTGTATAACGGTAAGAAATATTAATAACTCTAAAATTAAAGCACAAATTCTACAGTTAACAAGAGACGATAAGGCACTCATAAGCACAGCCAAAATCCCCCAATCAAGATCAAAATAATGTTCACAAAATTTTAGACTGTAGAAATGTGCATACCTGAGCCTTGAAATTGTTGTCAAGAAGAATGTTTGATGACTTGATATCCCTATGAATGATGCGAGGATGGCCTGATCAAAGCAAAATATTTATAAGAAATGTTGCATTAGAAGTTACAATGGAAATGATGTGAAGATTAGTTGATTACCAAAGGAAAATATCAAAGGAACGGAAATTTTATATAATTACAAGTATATATTACTTTATAGCATAGCAAACCTAGGTCTAGGTGTTGTTTAAACTCTACTTTTGTTCTTATGCAGATAATTAAATTTGCAGCATATGCCAGAGTTTCAAAGCACAACAAATAAAAGAAGCAAGAAGAACAAGTAGATTACAGTCTTCATGGAGGTAAGCTATCCCACGAGCTGCACCTGCAGCAACCTTGACTCGTACTACCCAATCCATTACTGGCCTGCCTCTACCTGCAAAATTCCATAAAAGTGCATGAAATTAGAACATTATCATTTGTGCAAGGGGATGACAAAGGGTAAATCTTGCAAGTTTCTATTATCCCTTATCTTCTATTCAATGTGTAGGTGGATACTCAAGTGCATTTCAGTGAGTTGGGACAGAAAGGAGCTTCCCAACAGATGTACAGATGCTCAAGCACTGTGGGTCCAAACAAGTTAATGGACAGGAATCCTCTTACATAGTTGGTGTCAATATCCGTCATATCAGTTGACTTTGACCTATACATATAACTCATGTGCAAACTACTTCAAATTTTGAACTTAAAATTATATCTGACTTCTTCATAAGCAGAGAACGCTTAGAGAACAGAAGCACTTAGGCATTTAAGATCAGAAGATGTCTTACCATGGAGATGGTAATGAAGGGTGTTATTCGGGACATAATCATAGACAAGCAATCTTTGATGCTCTGATATACAGTACCCCACCAGTGAAACCAAATGGCGATGATGTACTCGGCTAATAATCTCAACTTCTGCTCTGAACTCCCGCTCCCCCTGTCCACCACCAATCTTTAGCTGCTTAACAGCCACTTCTCTACCATCTGTGAGGATACCTTTGTATACACAACCAAATCCACCTTCACCCAAAAGATTATATTCTGAAAACCCATCTGTTGCCTGGACTAGCTCTTCATATGTAAACCATGTCCTGGAATTATTGACCCCACCAGGCTCTGAAGGTGAATAAAAACCACTGTTAGAACCACTTTCCACTACTTGATGTGTAGACTGGGGCCTTAAAAGTGCAGAATCTGCAGAGCAATGCAAGTTCCTTTATCACTTTATGGCATAATTGAAGTTATATTCAGTTATAGCAAGAAAAATCAAAGGAAGGAACTGAAATATCATTGCCCATGTAAGAAAACAGAACCACTCCTTTTGCTTTTACGTTAGAAGCAAGAAGGGAAGAAGAAGAAGAAGAAGAAGAAGAAAAGGAAGCCAGGACGGGTTCAAAAGTTTTCCTTTTAGTTGCCGAGATATGTATAAAGGTAGTCCAAATTCTAATAATAATCTCTCTTTTGGTATTAGATTCTCAACATGGAAAAGTTCACATTCAATTACTTCATAAATAAGTTTCAATATTCTATCAAGTGTTACTCATTCTAAGGAAGGTTTAGATTTATTTTTGTGCATGATGTGAGACTGAATCTCATATGGTTTTAAGATTGGAAAATGTTAGAGTGCTTGTCTTCACCAAAAAAAAAAATGTTACAGTTCTTACTGCAAATTTAACAAACCATTTTTTTTTGTCAAAAATTAGTACAAAAGTCATTTCAATTTGATTTAGCAGTTTTATAATATTCTAATTTAATTACACTATTCTTAGCTTTACATATACTATATTTAATATATATAACGATTATTTATGATAAAAATAATTATTTATGCCTTTTTACATATTTTCTAATAATTTATTAGTAATATTTGAGACGCCTAAGAATAAAATCCCTGGCTCTAGCGAACTCCTTTAAGTTAATTCTCAAACATATTGGAACACTATCAATGAACCACAGTTCATGCTGTCACCAAAGATATGGTAGCAGTGGTAAAAGGTAGAAAGCATTGAAAGTTTGACGTTGAGAAATTGTGGAAATATAGTAAAGAAAAGGTAGGTCCTTGGGGTTTGAGAATCAAATCATCAAGCTGATGAAAAGTGTATGTTAGTTTTCTTGAATGAATTTTGCAACACAAATAGCCATAAAAGAGAAGAAAAGATTAAAGCAATGATAATCTTAGTTTAACATAATTTAATAGGCACAAAAGATCTTCAAATTTACCTTGATGTGATAAACTAGGATAAAAAATGCCCTCAGATTTCCGTCAATAACTTAGCATGTTTAAATGTAATATGCACAATGCAATCAAATGTGGATCACATTGACGGCAATTTATAAACTTTTCTCATATTAATCTGCTTATAAGTTTATTCTATTATATATATTACTCAAAAAAAAAGTTTCCTTTCAACCAAAATCTTTGAGCTTACTATCAGGGGAAATTTTCATATTAAAACTTTTGAAATTTTTAACCACAAAATGAAACCAAACTTAAGAATAAATATTTTTGAAGACTGTGATCTGAGTTAATTAGACATTTAGTACCTGAATTTGGGAAAATGTATGAATTGGTATTCGAAGAGAAAATTGTATAATTTGCACCCTAAACTTTTAAATTATGTATCATGTTAACCCAAACTCTAATACCGCTAACTCAATCAACTTATATATATAGCATTTAACTTTGACCAATATTATCAAGTTGCATGTTCACAACAAAAAACTATCAACATTTTTTTCAATATAAATCTAAACATTTTTTTTTCTTGGATGATAAAAATTTTGTCTATTATCCATCAATTATTGCTTTTCACGTAACGTCCACAAGGCATCTACATAAAGCTTTTACAAAACATATCACTTTTATTTAACAAATGACATGCATATAACACAAATATATTGGTTAGATGGCATATTGGTGAGTTTGGTTAACAATATTAGAATTTCAGTTAACATAATACATTGTTTGAAAGTTTAGAGTGCATAAACTTTTTTTTTTTCTTCAAGTACCATGTTGTATATATCCCAAAGTTCAAATACCAAACATCTAATTGACTCTTTTGAAATTAATCTAGACAACATTGAAATAAAGATAGTTCTCACATTGAATTCAGAACATCCATAAACAACAGCAGAACATAAAAATCTACTTAAGTAAGCAATGTTACAACTATTTACCTGAATTTTGTGGAGAGGCAAATGGAGAAGGCATAGCGTACCCAATTTTTGGTCGAGCCCTCTTCCTCTTCCGTTTCTGTGCAAACCACACAGCCATCGCAAGAAGACTGAGCACAATAAACCCAACAACAATGCCTACTGCCACAGCACCTCCAGCACCTAAACCATTTTTACCAGATGATGTTGCATTTGCAGATGCATTGGTACTAATACCATTAGTTGACTTTGCAGATGGTTTTTCTGTTGGAATTGAGGGCAAAAGTGATGAATTAGGACTTCCCGTTGTTGATGGAGTACTTGGAGTTTCCGGGGGTGAAAGTGTAGGTGGTAAGGAGGTTGAAGGAACTGAAGGAGGCGGGGATGATAATGTAGGTGTGGAGGGAAAAGTTGCGGCTGGAGGAGGAGGAGCAGACTTTGAGCTAGAAGGTGAAGGTGTAAGTGTAGGAGGTGAGAAAGAGCTTCCAGGTGGTGCTGTTGCTGGTGGTGAAGGTAGAGACTTTGAGGAGGGTGTCGTTGGAACATTAGTTGGAGGAGGTGGGGAAAGTGCAATGACCTGAGGTGGAGGCGAAGTTACAACCGGAGGTGCCGATGCAACTTGTGCAGGTGGAAAACCACCAGATTGCAGTGGTGGAGATAAAACTGGGGAGGGTGGTGAATTCTCCAAGGGTGAAGGGACAGCAGGAGGTGAAGGTGGAGGAGATGTTGGCAATGATGGAGGTGGGGAAGATGGAGGGGATGGAGGAGGAGATGCTGGAGTTGATGGTGGAGGTGAAGCTGATGGAGTTGCCAATGCTGGTGGTCGTGACAAAGGTGGTGATGGGGGAGAAGCTATAGGGACAACTGGAGGAGGTGACTGAGGTGGTGGAGATAAAACTGGGGAGGGTGGAGGGAGAGCAGGAGGTGAAGGTGGAGATGTTGGCAGTGACAGAGGTGGGGAAGGTGGAAGGGATGGAGGAGGAGATGCTGGGATTGATGGTGGAGGGGAAGCTGGTGGAGTTGCCAATGCCGGTGGTGGTGACAAAGGTTGTGATGTAGGAGGTGATTGAGGTGGTGGAGACAAAGAATTTGTTAGTGGTGAGGCTGGTGGAGGATAAGTAGTTTGATTTGGCAAAGATGATGTGGGGGATGGCGAAGTGGTTGAGGAATTAGAGGAGGAAGACGTAGGAGGTGCTGATGATGGTGGTGGTGAGATATCACTAGAAGTTGGTGGAACCACAGAAGGTAAAGTTGAAGTCATATTTCTCTAAATGATTAACACTAATATATTCCCTACAGTCTCATATCCATTTTAGAAAAATCTAAACACCTAAGCTCCTATTGTTCCACAAACTACATCCATACATCGTTTCCACAGCACAAAATGCCAAAATTAAGGCCTTTAAACGTGTATCAAAGCTCCTTCTCTAAAACACAAAGAAAACTCCAAAGCATTGACAACAGCAACCCCTAGAAACTAATAGAAAATGTTCCAACAAGTCAAGCTTAGGCACAAAAACCAATCAACTAAATTCCATTCCTGGTATAACCAAGATTGCACACTCCAACAACCTCAAAAAATGAGGATAACCCAGTTCTTAAAAGCCTCCAAAAAGCAAATCCCAGATCACCAAACTCAAAATTTTAAATCACAAGACTGAGTTCCCACTTCGAAGCAACAACCAGAATGCCATAACAACTGTTAACAAACAAAATGCAGCATTACCAGATGATGAAACCTTGGAAACACAAGAAGCTTAAAAGAAAAGAAATGCTTACCTATCTGTCCAAAAAATCTGAAGAAAATTGGAATCTTGAAAAGCCACTGAGACGGTGGTATTGATTATTAGCAAGAAAAAAAGAAAAAGAAAAAGGCTGTTTCTTTTTCTTCTGAGGAAATTGGTAGAGAGAGAGACAGAGCGCGTTTTTGTGAGAATATTGTCTGTGACCATTAGTGGTGTAAAGGAAACGTGGGGTCAACTCGGAGTCTACGGTCAATCAGTCCCGCCATCACATGTACAATAGGGCATGCAATCACTTTCCTAGCTGTTTACAAAAAAATTCTTTCCTTTTTCTTTTCTTTGTTTAAAAATTAGTAAAACTTTATAAATTGTAATAGGCTACATTAAATAAATATAGCAAATTTTACTACTTTCTCTTTTTTGTTTTTTTTTTTTGAAATTTTAGGAAGTTACGAGGTTTAAACGTTTTTTTTAAGTATCTAACTAGCGTTTATTAAACAAAATTTAATTATAAAATTTCTTTTTCATTGTGATGGAAAAACTCATTTATAAAAATTATTTTTATTTAGTACATTCGAAGAATTTTAAGAAAAAAATGAGCATTTTAGAATTTTAAATCTTTACTTTTTTTAGTATAAGCCTTAAAAATTATATATTAAGCTAAATTCTATTACGATGTATTACTCATTCCGAGGATCAAAAGCCTATTCTCATTGTTTTATCCTTCAAGAAAACACATAGGTGACCATTATAATATCACCGTCCAGTTCTTGGCTACAGATGTAAGATTGTTTTTCCTTAACATTGGATGTGGATTATATGTTTGTTAAAGTTAGTGTAATGATACATTACTGTAAATTTCGGAGACAAAAAATTTTAATTGATCATATTTCGAGTCGAGCTCGAATTCGAGTTTCGACTTATCGATCAGTCAATTTGGTATTTTAATCTGATTCGAGACTCTGGCTTATCTAGCTTTATATTTAAATATATTTTTTACTTTTAATTAATAAAATATTTCGAGTCCGATAGTTCAGAGTATGCATCTTGTCAGTATACGAATCAGTTCATTTTACATATTAATCGAACTAATCAGAACTCGATAATGAATTCATAAAGAGCTCGACTTAATAAACTTTGATCGATTCGATCGAAATCAACCTCTGAATTGTGATTGACTCAAATCAAATTCTTACTATGATCGATCGCTCGATTCAAGGTCAGTATGATTTCCAGAACGTTCACTAATGTACAAATATTGTTAGACTATGTCTATTACGAAGTATTTATTACCTGCCTGAGGGTTTGAGGAAGAATAGCCCTTACTTATATAGCTACTATTTATATTTTATTATTAAACATGAGATCGTTTCTGCAACAATTTTGATGATTAACTAAGTAGGAGAGACGTCAAAAGTTGTAAAAATATTATGAAAATTGAAATGTTTTTATTTGCAATAATTAGTTTAATAATAGTAGCATATACGATATTAAAGTGGATAATACGAGATTCTTTTTAACAAATTCAAACATTAAAATAAAAAAATTATGCTAAAGATTTTTTTCATGCACCCATTAAAACCATACTTTTTTAAAGTGTTGTTGTAACCTCTAGATTACACTTTCCCTTTTTACTCATAATTAAAAGGTGCGCCCTTCAACTTCAACTTTAATAAAAGAAAACAGAATATGAACAAAAAAAAAAAAAAAAAAGGGTTTCTTTGAACTTTATAGTCTGTTCTATGTTACTTGACGACTAAACTAAATTCTAAAAAATGTGGATTAATTTACAAACTAAAAAGAAATTAATCCATTTACTTTTCATATTTCAATTTTGTTTCTATTATCCTATTTTTCTTAAGAATTCCAATTATAAATTTCTCCATCCCAATGAATTAATTGACGGCCCTATTTCAATTGTTGTGAGAAGGAATTAATTCCAATAGTAATTTCCTCTTTTTGATGTAAAAATTAGGAGACATGTATTACTCAAAAATATGTGTTGTGGATCATGCATTATCGATTATTGACAATAAAAATTACTAATAAAATTTAAATCCAAGATCATTTACATCAACTCAAACAACTTTAATGATTGAAATAACCTTTCATAGCGTAGTTCTGTCGTTTTTTGCCTCAGCATGCATGCTTCATAATTGAGGTATTCACGGCCAAGTATTGATTTCCGTAAAATTTTGTCCGAAATTGGGACAAACCCAAATAGGTCTCATACTATTTAAAAAATATTATTCTCCCTATTCTATTTTTTATCTTTTTTTATGTGTTAAAATATTTTTTTGAATATTTAAAACTCTTATTTTTATATTTTAAAATTATTTTTATGATTTTTTATTTGTTAACATTAAAAGTCATAAATTTTTTATTTTATAAAAATATTTTAATTTTAATACTACATATATTAAAATCAAAATTTTTTTCTTTAAATTTCGTAGAAGTTAATATCACCAAAATAATTTGAGACAAAAATAGTTTTAAGTCGAGCATTACGGAATCATAATGAGTTAAAAAAATTAATTAAAATATTAAAGTGTCTAACATATATTGTTTAATTAGTCATAAAAAATAAATATTTATAAAATAATCATTTATTACATTCATGCTATTTTCGAATAATAATTGAAAATCCAACAAAATGATAGCTATTGCTGAATAAAACCTTTTTACAATACTAAATCAATTAGATGTGTTAATTAATTTTGAACACAAATTAGCAAAGTTCAAAGTGTGATCTTGGTTTCTTTCACCCTCTAAAACGAAGCAGTTGGTTAAAAACTAGATTAAAGGCCACTTAAGCAAAAATCAATCAAATGATTACAACTTTTGATGGATAATGGAATTTACAGATTTTTTTTAAAAATTATAAAAGATTACTTAAATCATTAAAAGTAAAAAATTAAAAAGATGAGAATCAATGAAAACAATTCTAACTTAATTGAGTTTTAAGTGAAATAAAATAAGGAAAAAAAAAAAAACTTATTGATGTGTAAGATCCCTAGCATGATAAAAATTACATAAATTTTATGAGAAAAATTACTAAAAACAACTCTTAATTGATTGAATGCTTGACATGAGCTTATAAATCACCAAATCAGGACTTTATTTTTAAGAAAATCATAGAGAGCTTTACAAAAACAAATTCAAAGTAATCGATTGAAAACTAAATTAATCGATTTTAAAAAAATAATCAAATTGATCTATCTAATTTTAATACTATAAAATAATTAAATTGACATAAGATCAATTGATTCGATTGAAAAATCAAAATTTTTTGTTATTCTTTTATCACTAATTTTGAAAATTAATTATGCAATAATTTTCATCTAATAAAACTAATTTTATAATTTTTTTCATTGTTGACAATATAATTAAAATTATTATATATTTATAATATACAATATATTTTAAAATTAAAAATTAACTAAATTAATCAACTAAATAAATTTATTGGTTAAATTCAATTGTATACCCTTAATAACTAATAACTATTTTCTAATGGCTGATTCCTCCATTTTAGCAACTAATTCCATCTATTTTAATTAAGTGAAGTTTTGTTATGTTAAAAAGCCTCAATCAATTAAGTCAATGGAAGCGAAATCAAATAATCAATTAATCATATAAAAGATAATAATTTAATATGGTTCGGTCTAATTGACCTACCTCAACGGATGAGAAATAAAATTCTCTAGTTGTAGAGAATTACATACATACAAATCAAATCAACCTCTTAACAATCAATACTCATAAACACTTTCAATCTTCTTTATTCTTATTGAGTATTTTCAATCCAAACAAACATATACTCATGTGTACTCTTTCAATACAACCAAACACATATCCATATGCACCTATACATCATACTTGTGTGAACTTTTTCAATCTCCTCTAGTTCACTCTCATGCATCATATAAACTTACATACTCATAAAACGTAAATCTTCAGTAATCTTATGAAGTGTCTATCTCATAAAATCTTATAATTTTTTTATATCGTTTTCTCATACATAATCCTGTAGAGACTTCACATATTTATAACCATACAAATTTATTTATTAAAAATATCTTTTCTTTTTAAATTTTTTTTCTACAAATCAAATTTATCTATTAAAAATCTTTTTTCTTTTAAAATTTTTCTCTTATAAATTTTTTTATCCATAAAATAATATCTAATAAATTTTAAATAAATCTCTTATAAAATTTAAATCACTATTTTTAATAAATTTGCTACAAATAAAATCTACCACCAATCTCCTTTTCTTGATTTTATGTTTAAATTTTAGGTGATTAGCTAACAACCGATTCTTGTCCAAAGGCACGGTTCAACTAAACATTCTTATGGCAGACGCGGGACACTGATTAAATCCCTTCATATAAAAAATGTCACGTCATATAATGGACTTGTCAACAAATTTCCATTGGTTGATATTAGTCCATTCATCCATATTAAGACGCTGATTACATATCAATCAAAATCACATCTCATGTATCCGCCAAGTAACTTTTATTTGGCAATTACATTTTTCTGAGTGGTCCTTTTTTTTTTTTTTTGGTAAATAGTTACTCTTTGATAAATAAGTAAAATTGCTCAACTCCTTTTGAAATGAGTACGTAGTTGGAACTTATATAGTACATAGTATCAAAAGTATTATCGTTAGAAAATATTTTTAAAATATAAAAATTTAACTTAATTAAAGGAAAACACAGTTAAGTTATAAGATGGTTTAAGGCAAAATTTTATAAGTCAATAATACGAATCTAGACTTAAAATAATCATATAACGTTATGTTTGATACATAAGATAATTGATAAGATAAAATTATAATAATATTATATTATATTTGGTCTAAATATGAAAAAAAAATAAAATTATAAAAAAATTAATCATCCTCTTAGCATATAATAATTCAATCCTTTTAAAGTGGATAAAATTATTTTTAATCTATAAAATATAACTTATGTCTTACTATAACCTTAAAAATTATATAAATAATTTAAATTTTATAAATTTTATGGAATAATAATATTAATTAATAAATAAATTATCATATCTTAATTTTTACACACATTAAACATAAAATATGATATTATTTAATTTAATCTTATTCATAATACTATCTTATTTTATTATAATTTTGTATATCAAATA